GCCCGGCTGTGGGTAACGGCTCTCCCCAGCCTGCCCGGGGTGCGGAGCCAGCCCCACAGCACGGCCGGGAGCCTCCCGTCTCACCTCCACCAGATGGTTGTCCGGCCCGTACAGCTCCTTGTCCAGCTCGATGACGAGGCTCTTGAAAAAGGAGGAGAACTTCCTCTTCTGCTTGCTTGGCTGCAAAACAGAGCAGGATTGGCACCACCAGCCCAAACACCGCCTCCAGCACCCAGCGAGCCGTACCCAGCCCAGCCAGGCTCTCCACGCGGAGCACCAGTGGCTCCCCCCCCAACCAGCTCATCCCTGCCCGTATCCTTACGTCCTCCAGCAGTTTGCCCTCCACACGTAGCTCCCAGGAGGCCACGCGCTCACCACCCTCTCCTTCTTCTTTGGCTGGGGTGAAAGTGTTGGAGATGTAAATCCTCAGCTTCCGCTTTTGCTGTGGAAAACAGAGAGGAGGAAAGCCCTGAGCGGAGGGTGGCTGGCAGCACCCACAGCAGCACCCACCTCGTAGACCCCCCACCCCATCCAGCTGCTCGCCCTCCCCGGGCTGCCACGCACCGTCAGTGGTTGAGCGGGGGGTGGCTGGCAGCACCCACAGCAGCACCCACCCGTAGACCCCCCCACCCCATCCAGCTGCTCGCCCTCCCAGGGCTGCCACGCACCGTCAGTGGTTTCTTAATGGCCTCCTGAATCTCCATCCTCTTCCGGGCGATGGTTTGGTCCAGCTTACGCTCAAAGGCGAGGAGGTCCATGTAGGCCTGGGATTCTGGGACCAGCTCCCGGATCTGTCAAACAGAAACGATCAGTCCCTTGCGTGCTGCGATGGGGCTGCATCCCCCACACCAGTAATGCTGCTGGGCTGAGACACCCAGGAGTGGGATGAGTTCAGCACGACAGCACCGATTTCTCATTTTAAATGAAGACTACAGCCCTGCAAAGCTCTCCCCAGGTGACAGAGCTGCACTGCAGAGCTCAGTTTGGAGCCTGCCACTGTGCCCACCGCACAGGCAGGTAACGTAACCCTGGACCGTCAAGAGGGACGCCGGGAGAGGCTTAGGGTCCCCCTGGGGTCTCCACCCCAAGCTATTGCTGCTTCTTGCTTGCTCAAAGTCCTGCTTGTCCAACTTATGCACACCCCAAACCTCTACCAGAGGAAGAGGCAGCAATTTTCCAGGTCAGTTTGGGACTGAGCAGAAATGCCCAGCGGGCAGGAGGCGGCTCAGTGAGATTCTCTGCCCCGCAGGGACCTCATCGCCCCGGCCGCGCTGGGAAGGCAGCACGGATGCACCCCCTCTCTTCAGCAGCTCCGCTCCCTCCCCACGCACCGAGGCAGCACTCACCCTCTGCGGCAGGACCTTGTCTGCCATCTTCCTCCTTTTCACCCTGGAAAAAGCAGAGAGACAGGCAAAAACCAAACCAAATCACACAGCAGCTCTTGCAGGACACCTTGTTGCCTGCCTGGGGGGAGGCTGCTGCATGTCCCATGCTTGGGCAGCAGCGGGGCTCAGGGGACAACACCGAGCTCTGCTTGCATGCCTGGTGGCTCTTTTGGCCCCACCCAGGCCACGAACAGGGCCAGCCCCAGCGAGGGCAGTGCCAGCGGCAGTGCCAGCTGTGCCCACGGGGATGGCTCAGTCCGAGCCAGGCACTGAGGCTCCTGCTGCAGGGAGCAGGTCTGGGGGAGCAGGTCCCTTGCCAGGGCTGCTCTGTGTGACAGGGACTTTGGACTTGCAAGAAGGGAGCAAAGAAAGGCTGTAAGAGCACCCAGACCACGAGATCTTGGATCAGTGCCGGAAAGCACATGAGAAGAGATCCCTGTGGACAAGCCAAGGTGACTCAAGCGGGAACGGTGTTGGACGTCTAGAGCCTGTCACCAGGGAAGTAAATCCGGTCCCTGGGTTCAGTTTGCTTCGCTGCTGCCGCTTGCTAAAGGTGCTTCAGGGTGGGAGCATGAAGAAGGTGGTACAAGGCAAAGCTGCGGCTGCAGGCATGCTCCCACCTCCAGGATGGCACTCCTGAGTTCCCTCCCTGCAAATGGCTGTCACATTCTCTCCCAGTGCTACCAACCAAAGCCCAGTTCCAGGATCTCACTTTAAAACAGCTTAAAACAAATCAGCCTTGCCACGGTGGGGATGAAATCATCGTGGGTAGAGGAAGGAGAGTGGCCTCTGTAGCAACAGAAGGTCTGCAGCCTTTAGAATTTAGAATGGCAGGGGCTGGAAGGGACCTCTGTGGGTCACCCAGCCCAACCCCCTGCCCAAGCAGGGTCACCCAGAGCAGGCTGCACAGCACCGCGGCCAGGCGGGGCTGGAATATCTCCAGAGAAGGAGACTCCACAGCCTCCCTGGGCAGCCTGGGCCAGGGCTCCGTCACCCTCAGAGGGAAGAAGTTCTTCCTCGGGTTCAGCTGGAGCTTCCCAGGCTTCAGTTTGTGCCCGTTGCCCCTTGTCCTGTCGCTGGGCACCACTGCAAAGAGTCTGGCCCC